TAAACCTTGTGTGCACAAAGGTCCCTGAATCCAAGTCCAATAAGATTAAGTGTAGCTTGACGGACGATCGAAATCAGTGGGGTTCCATCTGTACGTCGATCGGTGTCCATGCTAATCCCACGACATTAAAAAGAATCTCTCGTCCTCCAAACGCGTTGCACTACGGTGAACCACGGTTACTTCGGGTAACACTAAACTCGGCGGACGAGACTGAGGCCGTTCTGCTGGCTGCGAATCGTCTCCGCAACGACTCAAGTGGAGTGCGTATGCTACCTGCAATCCCGTGGAAAGAACGTTCAGTGGATCCCACTAACAAAGAGAGGTACAGAAAAAGTCTAGATAAGAAAACAGTGATTGCTCACGGTGTTCCTGAACTTACTGATTCCTCTTCCGACGATGCTCATATGCACGACCGCGAGCAATGGCACTACTTCCAGGAGGCTCTTTCTCTTACAAATTCGTGGCCACCTCGTTGACAAGGACCCCTATATCACCAAGCTATAAGGCGTGCGGTCCCAGGCTGTTAAAACTTGTGTTAAAACCAAAACTAACGGCACAAACCCTACTTAAGAACCGGACTAAATTCCTTTGCAGAGTGCTAACAGAAATTCTTCTGGAATCAACGGGAACACCAGCATCTTCTAATGACCGTTCAGTAAAGGCACAACTCTTAATGAAAACGCCAACTGCAGGACCCCACTCGGGGACGGTTTCGACAGTAACCATAATATCCGGAGGGACACGGCAGAGAACGGGCAATCACCGGGATACAGGGCATCTGACACTTGACCACATACCGAATTCGTCTCGAGACCCGTCCAACCAATCCAAAAAACGATTAGTCGCCGACCCTTTATTGGTCGGCGTAAGCGCACTTGCTCCCTCCATTCAATCTAACACACTTTTGGTCTCCGAGAATCTCTCATGCATGTACCCAAATGCCCAAGGTCTACTAAGCAAATTGGCTGTATTAAGACCTCGACACGCGTCCTCAGCTTGGAACCTCATCGCTGTCACCGAAACGTGCTTGCGCTGAGAGATAACGGATGTTGAAATCGCTCTAACGGCATGTCCGTTATGCGGAAGGATCGCGCCAGCAAAGGTGGTGGGGTAGCCCTCTACTTTTGTAACAACCTGCAATGCGAACCCATAAACGATTCGGAAACCGACGTATCTAATGTCCTTTGGTGAAATTTACGGCTAAGAGGGAACGATCTTGGCCTATTGGTTGTTGTTTACCGCCCACCATCGTCTACTCCTGAGATGGACTGCAACTTGGTGGCTGCTTTAGGCAAGTGATAAACAAAAAGTACAGTCACATTCTAGTCATCGGCGACTTCAGCTTACATGCTCTATAAACCCAGGCCACACCAGAAGAACAATTCAAAGCAGACTTGCAATATCTGGCTTCAGACTTCCCGATTTATGAACACGTCACTATGCCCACCGGGTTCAGGGGAACTAACAGGCCATCCATATTGGACCGAATATTCACCAATGAAGAACTGATGGTCGAGAGAGTGATAACCGATATTCCTTTGGGCCGCAGTGATTATGCGATGCTAGTGTTTCATTACATATGCTATGCGGATTCTCCTAAAGAGCATGCCTAGGAATATCGTGTCGCAACCAACTATGACGACCTGTCCGACCTCATTGATGCAACCAGCTGGTCGTTCTTAGCTGAATTAACCCCTGAGGTGGACTGCGCAGAATTCGTCAACATATTTACCAAGCTCGTGGCAAGGACATCTGAAACCAAACTCTGCCAGCCTAAAAGGATGAACTCTTTCGTAAGGAGCAGGACACGTAATTGCATAGCATTAAGGGACTTGGCATGGCACACATACATAGCCTCCCCGAACGACCATACCTGGGGCGTCTACACACTGCAAACGAACCACTGTGTCGAACTCGTCCAGGAGGATAAACTGAAGAACCAACAAGATTTAGTGTAAAAGTTTTGCTCCAATACCAAACTGCTATACAGACGCGTAAACAATTTGTGCCGTGTTAAACGCGGTATTTCTGCTCTGCACACAACATACGGGTTAGCCCAAACCGCACAAGAGGAAGCCAACATTCTTGGACAACGATTTGGTCATACCTTCTAAAGTGTGCAATCATCATACATCCTACCTAAACAGATAACGCCACCCTCAGGGCTTAATCACATATAGTTCACCTCAGCAGCTGTACTGAAGAGGCTGATGTCTCTGAGCGAGTCAGCTCCCCGGGTGCGAAAGGCATTCGCCCGAAGGCGTTGAAAGTTGCTGCCATGAGTTTGGAATAACCATTAGCAATTTCGTTCAACGATGTATGAAAGAGATGCACCTCCCCACTATGTGGAAGCACGGAATCATCACGCCAATCTATGAAAGTGGCAGTCGTGCGAACAAGTAAATTATCGCCTGATAACACTGCTTCCTGTGATATTCAAGGTTATGAAGTCCATTGTAGCTGAGGCTTTGATTGGATACCTGAAGAAAAACAACTTCCTCGTTCCGGAGCAACACGAATTTCGTCAAAATCGCATCTGTACCACTAATCTGTTGATTGCTCGTGCAAGCTGAACGGAATTCGTGGACGCTGGTGTAGGAGTCGACGCGGCGCACTTGGATTTCTCAAAGGCATCCGACCGTCTAGACCATCGCATTCTCCTCCACAAACTCCAGAAATATGGAATCGGAGATACTGTTCTGGGCTGGATAGGAGACTTTCTCGTACAACGTCACCTGAATGTGAGGGTTCGAAGCAACCTGTCGGAATCCATCGAAGTTCAGTGCGGCGTACCTCAAGGCTCGGTACTTGGACCCCGCCTATTCCTGGTTTTCATAAATGACCTCGCGAGCGTGCTACCTTCTAACTGCTTGCTATTTGCTCCTACCAGATATGGCCGCGGCACAGGAAGTAAAGAACGGACTGTTGTCCTGCAAAAGTACTAAGTTGAGGCTGGTTACGAAATCGCTTCCGTCAAGTGCCGGCACCTTGTGGGGGGATATTGTAGGGGGCCGCAAAGCTCCCATTGCAATGGCGCACTCACCATGGCTACACCATGCTTCACAATTTGGTCTCGCAGTACTGACCGGCGACGAACAGTCCTGAATTAATCAGTCATCTACGGTTCACTCTAGGACGGGGCTATCTGAGAGACCTGGTGAGGACTGAGGACTGTTGCGTAAACTATCCTAGGATTTTGTTCTTAGGTAACTAGGGGATTAAGCAGCTCGCTTGTTGAATTTCGTTAACTTTTCGTTGTGTCAACACAAACACGCCTGTCTGACACGGAAGGACCTCAACTACCGATAAACGCCTACGAACTATGCGCACGCTTGCACGTTTCCTAGCTAGCTCTCGTTTTTGTGCCACATTTCTAGCCACAGCTGGTCTAGAACTAAGTTATGCGGTTTATTTTGCATGTTCTTGCTTTTCTGCGGTAGGCCATACGGGGTAGGAATGCTTCCCGATGCATTTGCGTAATCCCAGGCTATACAAAGATTAACTATGAGATGCTTTCTTTGGGCCGGGTGCAGATTTTTTTTAGTGACGCGAGTATAATTAATGGTGTTTTGGTTTTGAGCTCGACATGTCACAGGTACAGCTACTGTCATAATTTATGGATGGTTGTTACTGGGATAAGGGGCAACAGGAGGCAGTAGGTGTAGTCTACAGGTGCCTCAGTACTAGGTATAATATTAGCATGGTTGGTGTTGATGGAGATAGGCACATCCCCATTGCTGCTTGGAGAAGTCCCAGAAGGCCGAAGAGGATTAGAATGCGAGGCACCACCTGATTTTAATGATGTAATGGACCCTGTAACATTATGGAATCGAGAGGCTGCGTGGTCATGGCTCTGAGTTAACCGCCTTTTGCAGAGGTTATGGGATCATAATGTTTTTGAAGTGTCCTCCTAAAAACTTCAGCAGTATTGGGCGTGAGGTCATGTTTACCTCCTTTTGCAATGAAGCTTAGAAAGCTGAGTCTATTCAAATTGCATAGAAGAGCATTTTAAACTGTGGACAATTAAGTTAACAGGTAGGTTGAAAATAACCTTTTGCGATTAGCGTAGGCAGTCTTACGTCTGGGAGCTGATTGAAGATAGTAAGGAAACAGCTGTGCGCAGGCGATCTAGTGTAAAACTTACTGATCCTCTGAACAATCCACAGAATGATAAAAGGTATTCACGGCTAATGCTAAATTCATGAATTTCGCTTTCCAGCCTAGTAATCTTTTCCATAGCAACGGTAATCCCGCCGGTCACTTTTGGTGGGATGTGGCGGCGAAGTTAGGGTTTACAGCTATACCCATTATCGTTACTGTAAAACAACAATGGATGGAATAATATTAGTGACATCGTGTGTCTTATGGTAGCTAATGGCTTCATTTTTAACTAAAGTGAGGGACTTCTCGTTCACCCAGTGCTAACAAGCATTTCTATGAATACTCGGTAGGACGTCCAGATGAAAGTGTAATTATTAAAAGACTAGGTAATAGGAAATGCACAGGGGGACGAGCAAAAATAATTTGCGGTGTATAAAATACGATAGGTGTCCAAAACCAACGGGATTAAATTCCAGCGGTGCTTCGCGGTACAGCTGCGATGCCCATGGAAAGCTAGTAATCGGATAATCACAGTTGATTTTTTCAGTCTACTGTTCGCACTCTTTGCTGCAACTTCTTCACATTGTAGATATGAGTGTAGTAGTGAGGACCGTGACAACTGAAGTCATCGCTGTTTGGAACAGAATTAAACCGTCACAGACGAAAGGAAGCTGCGATGAGAACCATCTAGTGAAAAACGTCGGTCAAACGAATGTTAGGATAACAAAACGAATGCGCGGGGTGAGAAACTACCAAAATATAATAAATGGCAAGCAATTGATGATAGACAACCTCAAAGGGGAGCACAAAACAAAAGTGAAACCGTGACAAAGGCGTCCATCAAAAAGGCAAAACAATAAAGGAATCACAAAATTTCGTGGTCATCCACGAGAAGTAGATTAGTCCAGTCTCAAGTAAGTGGTGTGTTGCACTTCTAAAACACGGGTCGGGGCTCGACGAGCCTGTATTGTGTCTGCGTGGAAGAAACAAGCCACTCCAAACGTGGCCCAAAGGGCGTAAATCATCACTTGCCAATGGAGCAACAGCTTGTTCGCGTACGAGAAGCTGATTGCCGTCAAAACCGACTGAAACACAACGGAAAATATGAAATGACAAAACTAATGTACTCGAAAAAGCTGTTAATGGCATATCAAGCAGACGTTTGACAGGAGCTGACTGGAAATCAAAAACAGACGGTTTAAGCGTGATGAGGACAAGTGAGGCAAAGATATCAGCAGCACGCCAGTACGTATCACAGACGCGTCGCTGCCGCGCAACCACTACCAGTCGCACGTGCGAGTGTCGCCCGGTTTGTACGCAGGCTCGAACCTGTGCCCTCGGGTTACAAGACAGGCTTGTGATTCTGAGAGCTACAGGCTGCTGAGGGTATGTGAAGTGTAAAGTGACGTTATTCGTCCCGATTTAGCCGGGGGTAAGTCGTGTCGAACGCAAACCAAACAGTTGCCGATGCAAACACAAAGAATGCCCCTTTCCAAGTTATAGTTAGGCTATGAACGCAAAGTTCGAGTAGGTACCAGATACAAAAAACCTAAGAACAACGGCACTAGCGAAATTCAGTGCTACAGTGCGAAGAGCAATCACTGGAGTGAAGCCACGTCCACCGATAAGGCAGTTGTACATATGACGGGAAGTCCAGAGGCAGCTGTTTGATCTAGCAACTGTTTCTTAGACGGGGATGAGTGAACACCTTAAAAGAAACTCAGCGAAGCATGAAGAATGCGAGGCATACCTGAACACACCGGTACAATGCGAACGCGACAGGGATGTCTTCTTTACGTTCTCGATAAGTGTTTCCTATTAGAACGCCCAGTTGGGTGTTCCACACGGCGTCCACCATTCCAAACAGTGCGCAGCCACTATGGCAGCTCCAATGCTAAAAGGAGATTGAAACAGAAACAGTATAGGAGGGCAAGCAGGAACTTAAGACGGGAGAATGAAAAGTTAGAAGAGAATTAACAAGTGTATCTGCAGGACGCCGGAACTTCGTGTCGAGAATTTGTTGCCACTACCACCGGTCGCACGGCGTAATGGTACAGGTTAACGCATCTGTACATGCTGGGACCGATGACATTTGGATTACAAGATGGAGGTCTGAAATGATCCGTTACCGATGAGAAACGAAAGTTAACCGCCCAAGCCACCGACGGTGGAGGAAATAATAATTAAGTAAGTTATGCCAAAAATAATTAAGCATCTTGGATCAGATGCAGTATGAAATACCGGCAGAAAAAATACACCTGTAGATCTATTTACCTCGGGGTGACGTAGGTGCTGTCATAAGTGTCTTCCATAGGCTGTCTGCAGGCAGCATTATGAGGCATATGTAGGCGGCAATCAGAGCACTCGCGTACCCAAATAAAGTAACCAAGCCAGATGGGGATATGTATCGTCGCAAATTCATTAAGAAACTACCTAAGGTAGGAAAAAGGAAAGATTGGGTTATGTGTATAGCAACAGGATTATATAATAAACTGGAGGTGGTCAGATGCAAAATAGGCTTACAAGGAGCGTGGCGTTTAAAAGCTTTAGCATACATAATGCCAGAGAAACGTGAAATACAGATGAACTTATGCAGGTTTGAAGTGTAGGCTCATTTAGGTGTGCTTATTCCTTGACATTTGTCCTAAACTTATTGACATTTTGGGCATGTTTTGGATACGGAGAACAGTATTTCCCTGATGTGAATGCATCTGATCGGCGTGTAACTCGTTTGGTTATTACTTTTCGCGGTGGTGTCTGTTGCGATCTGTTACGTTTTGTCGATGTGCGTCCTCTGACCATTTTACTATATAAACATAATAGTTCTCGTAGCGAAGAACCCTGACCCTGCTCGTTAGTTGGTCTAAATACCAAACTGAGGGGAAGTTACTCGCGGGACCGACACAACGCATATCTTGCCGTAAATGAGGACAAACTACCACTTGACACTGTCTAATTGTGAATGCGTTGCGGTATGTCGGAGTGAGGAACTGAAAGCAAACTCCAAGTCCGGGTGTGAGATCGCCACACATGGAGGCTTGACAAATCACTTCGAAAACACATATGGAAGTCAGCTAACTGGGGAATCCATGAGTAAATCGCACCTATGCGCATTAATAGTAGCAAATAACGATTTCGAGCCTAGCGGCTATGCAGAGGGTGCTAGCTAAACTGCTTTGGTGGATTAAGTTCATTCGATGATGGCGAATTCCAAAGTAAGCTTAGTCTATCGGACGGTCAGCCATGCAGTACAAAGGAGTAAGGTATGATAACGGGCAGGTGAGCCAGAAGTGGTGCAGAGTTGCTGAGAGGCAGAGGACTAAAGTCAATGGTTTGGATGGGGATCCATGGAGAGTTGGTTAGCGGCAGACAACGATGGTTGGGTTCCCGTTGCGTCCCTCGGATGTATGATGTAATGGAGAACATAGAAAGGCACATACAGAAATGCCCAGCGCCAAGTGAATAGTGCCCATCCAAAAAGTCTTGAGGCAGGAATTCACAAATTGTGTACTCGCATTCATCAACAGCCTTTAAATCAAAAGTTTAAAAAATTCTAGATCACGCTGTGTCGTGATAAGTTGATAGGGTGAGAAAGAGGATGGAGCCACACCAAAATAGTCTAAAAGAGTAAAGTCATACAGCCGGAAGAAACGTGAAAAGAAATAGGAACTAGGTAGACACGAACCACTGGCCCACGTTTGTGACGAGTTGTGAAATGTCTTCCAGACATGTTACTGGTAACGCAACTTTCATACAAGGTTGAAAACTGGTAAAAATGCTGACAACAAATACTGTTCCCAGCTGCCTCGAGACATCACATCAGCCACCTGTGCAATTCGACTGTGGAACCCTGGCCTGACATCTGACAGCTCGTTTACCGCAGGTAATTGCTGGGTACCTTTTTCTACCTAGAAATATAGGGCAGTAGGTTCGAATACGTGAAATATGTAGCCAAATATCTCTTACACAATAATATAGAAGAGTCGAAAATAAATTCGTATTTCAAAAGTACAACACCATGAAAATTTTACCAATAAAGTGGGAACAAAAAACCACAACATTTGAAACATAGAACGATGAACCTAAATACGGTATCTTTCATATGCTAACGATAGTGCCGAATGTAACGAAAAAGGCATATACCATACTATTGTCCGTAACTACTAAACTTTCCGTCTAAGGTAATTCATGCTAATAAATTAGTAGTAGCAGCGAATAAATAATTTTTGATTCCGCATAACTTAACTCAAATTTTGAAAAGGTACTCGAAGTTGTGAAGCAAAATTTACGTCAAATTCACATTCACGCCCACTAATTTCAAGTAGGTGTAACTACTAAATCAGCCGCAAAATGCCACAACCGGTGCCAAAGGAAAACACATGCATTACAATTTACATTTGCGAAATAGTTTGATGTGTTTTCGCGACATACAGCGTTAAGGGGTTGAATGACCACAGAAGTTTCACAAAGCTAGGCGCAGTACCCGCAGACAATGCACACCGAAGCAGTCGGCTGATAGGCTTGTGGAGGCGAATACGAGTTCAGCATAAAGTTTGGTGACGCACCGGAGAAACTGGTGCTAAATATCAGAGGACAAGCTGAATTCGTCACCCGGTTCCCACGCCGCATATGGGCAAAAGTTTGCAGACAGCGGTGGCGAACATATTCAGTTACGTAACGACCTATGCACGCGACCCGCCAAGTCTCTGAATCACACAGTAACACTAGTGGCACCGATCGCGCGTAAAGATAAGCTTCGTTTTGAACAGGCACAGTTCTGTGTGTGTAATTTATTGAGAAAATGTGACAAATTACTCAAACCGAATACCCCAATTAAATTTATGTCCCATGTGTTTCAAGTTACTCATTGCAACGTGATCAGAGCGCGCTGGTCTCGGTAAAAATGTTGGGAACAGATGCTCTGTAAAATCGTGCAACTCCGACGACTACACATGAAGAGCTGTGCAGGGGTTTACAGCGACAGATAAGTGAAAAACCGTTCGAAAATCACGCTTGCACTGTATTAAATAAAAACAATCCTAACGGTTGGGTAGATTGAAAAGAAGGAAGCTGCGCTATAACCAAAGCTGGCCAATCTACTTGATATCAACTTGCGACGGTGCTGGCGCTTTCCTAGCCGCGCGAATGTGAAGCTATGACAGCCATTGTGATAAATGGTTCGGTGCATCAGCTCATATAATAACAGACTTACATTGTGTTAGTATGACAATTGCACTTACAGTCGAGATACCGCGTAGAGAAAACAAGATAAGCAGTTTTGCAAGGTGTCTGAACATTGCAACGCAGAATCAGGATCCGGTTGACGCGAAAACGTCTAAGGCCAACTTGTTAGTTAAATGCAGCAGTGTGTGTTGTTCCATACGCTCTCAGATGGACTCGTTTGGAGATGATTACAACTTTGTGGTCGTATTCACCAGTGCAGTGAGACAGTGGCATAGTCACACGATGGAATAAAAACAGACGGAATATGACACCAGAGCACGATAGCAGAAAAAGGTGTAGAAAATAAACATTGTGAAATCGCCAACGAAGCGTAAGCAAAAGTGCTTCAATGAAAACCCTATGACTGAATTAAAAGGATCACCTTTAGGTCAATAAAGTAGACACTTTGAGGAAGAATTGTATACGGGCTTACCGATAATCTCACCGATTCCAACGAATACAACCACCAAACCGATGAAGGATTTCGCTTCCGTACCGAAAGCCAATGTGTGACCGACACAAGAAGCGAACAGACTAGACCAGAATGTGGTGCTGACTCCTACAAAATGTAAGACAGGTCAATAGACAAAAAGTATAAGAAAACAATGTGATTATAGTGGAGGAAAAGACAGCTACACTAGGTATTCATGGTCTAAATGCCCGTTTGGAATAAAAGTAGTGGGACCCATGTGGAATGGAGACGCGCGAAGCAGTACCTGGAGGCACGCTGGTCAAATATGGTAAAAGAAATAGATGTTTGGTGAACGGGTGAAGGTAATTCGTGATACGGTTCAAATTGGAGGAAACAAACATTGCGCTTCTCAGACTGTGACAAAGAGGAAATTAACACGTGAGAGCATGAGGGCCACATCCGATGTTGAATCAATTCACTTGGAACTACATGTTTATGTAGATGACTTGTACCGTCGACAACGCACGAGTAGCCCACATGATCTATCATCTCATGGCGGGTTGCAGGCTGGTACAGTTCGACAGACTCTCATATTTGATTTAAAAAAATTCATGATGATTCTACTTGAAAACACGGTTGTAAAGAGATCACTTTCTGGTAAATTACAGCAGGCAAATAAATATATAGATAACGTTGTATTCCCGACTATGCGGGACACGCTATTAGAAGCATGATCATGGAGGTGCCGGCAGTGTACATTACATGGGTCATAGGCTGATCAGAAATAGATGCATAAGTGCAACTAAATATGGGTGTGAGTGATCCGAGATTTGACATATGTAAAGACGATAGAGTAATTCGGAATAAGTAGTTGCGTCCAAACAGTGGTAAGAAATAGAAGGGTACGAAATGATGTAACAGATGAGGTGAGAGTTCACTCGGAGACCGCAGGTTATGTTCGAGTATGTGCCACGATTTAGTTAACAGAATATCTCGCTATTCGAAGTCGTCAAGTCCCCCAAAGTACGACCATGACTCTTAAGTTAGCATCACGCTCCGAGTGAGCGAAGTTTCCTTATTCAGTAATAGATACTTGTTCCGAAATTCATTGAAGATAAGCGGTAAGATTGCCTTGAGTAGGAAAGTTTAAGTGCTTCGGTATGCATCAGATAAGGAACAATTATCTTGTAAGATAAGTCACTGTGGCCTCTGAGTTACCTCAAAGTAACACCGGAGAAAAGTAAAGAATTGGTATAATTCACAGCGATGGCATCCATGGTAAAAGACTGAATGATAATCCACAGAAGTAAGATGGAAAATATCTCGCTTGAAGGTATTGGGAAACTGGCTATGTTAGCATAGCTGTTGTCATGGTTGCGCCAAGTATATATGCTTGCAAGAATGTGTACCGATACTAGGTAAGGTGGAACCCGGTTGTTCAGAGGAAATGGAAAACGATTCAAAAATTGCAATGTTTTCCATGAGGTAAGTAGTGATATCAGATTGTCAATGTTCTAGCAAGTGTCGAAAGAATGTTCCGTGCGCTTTTGGAGAAGTTGGAGCTTTGTTCTTCCGCGAAGGACGGTCGTGATTGAGGAAGATAATGAACGCTTTATCGACCATTGCTTGCAGATCTCGTGGGAAAAGGGTGAAGAAGCAGACAAAACAAGAGCATCTATGCACGAGTGAAGGAGACTCATAATGAAGCCGATTTTAATACTTGACCAAACAAGTGGAAATTGTTTATTTGTTATGTACACACATTTTATATGGAATTTCTTATTAGATGGCTTTCGATGCATAGGTTGCATAGACTTCCATAGACAGGGCTAGAGGACGTTAAACCGCGTAACGTAGGAAAATAAGGACGAAATTACGTGGAACATAGGTAGGGATTGGTATCATCGAGACGAGTTATATGCTATATATTGGGCGAGATAGTACAGGGTGTGTTGAAGAAACACGGCGTGTGAACAGTTCGCGAAAGAAAGCTTGTCTCACTAGGCTAGATTGCGTAGTCCGAACTCAAACAAGAGTGAAAGATGAGAAGGCAAGCGAGGTAGCTGAAGGTGAATAAATAGTTCGCTATTGCAATAAAGATATTCCAACCGGCAGAGCGATCAGCATGGGCATCGTACCTCGCAGGCAGGCACGAAACCCCCACACAACATAGCCAATAACGGCGGCGGCAATGTTAGCTGCGGCCAACATGCGGTTAACCGATCTGGGCTGCAGATGATAACGACGGGATACACGGCCAGATAGATTGCCGGGGTTTAAGGTTAGATTCGATCTGGATCTTGTCCCCATATTCTCATCATCAGACTGAACAATGTTAAGAAACTTTGAAATAGGAATTAAGTTCAGAAATCTGCGTATAGTGCAGAATGTTGCAGCCGTTGGTGTCGATCTGATTTCCAGTGGCAGCTTATTCCACGCCAAGGTGTATCTATAAAGGAAGAAACCAGAGCGTAAACTCTTAGCAGATTTCGGTAAGATAAACGAATAGGGTCTAGTTGCGATTCCTTGAGTTCGCCCTGCTGCCTTGCGGGAAGGCTATTTAGCCAAAGACTCGAGGTGGGGTCTCCTAAGACAACTCCCTCTACTTCGGCTTGGGTAACCGGGATAGCACCCCGCCCACTGACAAAACCGTGGATCATTCATCTGACATATCGCGCTCAGCTGCTTTGCTTCCGCTTCTCGCCAACCTTCTTCACACGCCAACTGTTCATTTGTTACTAATCAGTATTATCCGTTATCAGCTGATTCCTGTTTTCATGATTCTACCCCGATGGTATCACCGACGCCTGTAGATCGGACAGCAGTTTGGTATTGCGCAAACTTAGAATCCATCGCCATCAATGTTTGCTCTTTCAGGAACGGAGTCGGAGGCCAAAATTGCCGTGAGGAGAAAGGGACGTTTTCATCTCCTTTGGGCCGCAGTGATCATGTGATGCTAGGTTTTCATACATATGCTACGCGGATTATCCTAATAAGCATGCCGAGGAATATCATGTGGTATTCAACTATGACGACCTGTCCGACCTCATTGATGCAACTAGCTGGTCGTTCTTAGCAAAAGTAACCCCTGAGGTTGGCCTGCGGAGAATTCGTTCAACATATTTACCAAGCTCGTGGCAAGGACAGCTGAAACCGAACTCTGCCGGTCTAAAAGGATGAACTCTTTCGTAAGGAGCAGGACACGTAAATGCATGGCATTAAGGGACTGGCAATGGCACACATACATAGCCTCCCCGAACGACCATACCTGGGATGTCTACACAATACAAAGAAAACACTGTGCCGAACTCGTCCGGAGGATAAACTGAAAAACCAATAGAATCTAGTGGAAACGTTTTGCTCCAATCCCAAACTGCTTTACAGACACGTAAACATTTGCGCCGTGTTAAGCGCGGGTATTTCTGCTCTGTACACAACATACGGGTTAGCCCAAACCGCACAAGAGGCGGCCAACGTTCTTCGACAACAATTTGGTCGTACCTTCCAAAGTGTGCAAACATCATACATCCTGCCTAAGCAGATAAGGCCGCCATCAGGGCTTAAACCACATATCGTTTACCTCCGCAGCTGTACTGAAGAGTCTGATGTCTGCGCGAGTTCAGCTCCCCGGGTGCGAAAAGCATTCGCCCGAAGGCTTTGAAAGTTGCTACCATGAGTTTGGCAGGATCATTAGTATGTCCCCACGATGTGGAAGCACGGAATCATCACGCCAATCTACAAAAGTGGCAGTCGTGCCGAACAAGCAAATTATCGCCCGAGAACACTACTTTTATGTGCTCTCCAAGGCTATGGAGTTCATCGTAGCTGAGACTTTGATGGGGTACCTGGAGAACAATCAAATTCTCGTTCCGGAGCAGCACGGATTCGCCAAAATCGCTCCTGTACCATTAATCTCTTGATTACTCGTGCAAGCTGGATGGCATCTGTGACCGCTGGTGTGGAAGTCGATGCGGCGCACTTGGATTTCTCAAAGGCATCCGACCGTCTAGACCACCGCATTCTCCTCCACAAACTCCAGAAATATGGAATCGGAGATCCTGTTCTGGGATGGGATAGGAGACTTCTCGTGCAACGTCACCTGAATGTGAGGTTCGAAGCAAACTGTCGGAATCCATCGAAGTTCGGTGCGGCGTACCTCAACGCTCGGTACTTGGACCCCGCCTATTCCTGGTTTTCAAAAATGATCTCGCTAGTGTGCTATCTTCTAACTGTTTGCTATTTACTGCTACCAGATATGGCCGCTGCACAGGAAGTCAAGAACGGACTGTTGTTTTGCAAAAGTCCTAAGTTGAGGCTGGTTACGAAATCGCTTCCGTCAAGTGCCGGCACCATGTGGGGGGATATTGTAGGGGGCCGCGAAGCTCCCATTGCAATGGCGCACTCACCAATGGCTACACCATGCTTCACAATTTGGTCTCGCAGTACTGACCGGCGACGAACAGTCCTGAATTAAATCAGTCATCTACGGTTCCACTCTAGGACGGGGCTATCTGAGAGACCTGGTGAGGACTGAGGACTGTTGCGTAAACTATCCTAGGATTTTGTTCTTAGGTAACTAGGGGATTAAGCAGCTCGCTTGTTTGAATTTCGTTAACTTTTCGTTGTGTCAACACAAACACGCCTGTCTGACACGGAAGGACCTCAACTACCGATAAACGCCTACGAACTATGCGCACGCTTGCACGTTTCCTAGCTAGCTATCGTTTTTGTGCCACATTTCTAGCCACAGCTGGTCTAGAACTAATTTATGCGGTTTATTTTGCATGTTCTTGCTTTTCTGCGGTAGGCCATACGGGGTAGGGAATGCTTCCCGATGCATTTGCGTAATCCCCGGCTATGCAAAGATTAACTATGACACGCTTTCTTTGGGCCGGGTGCAGATTTTTTTAGTGATGCAAGTATCACTATTTGTGTTTTTGTTTTGAGCTCGACATGTCACATATACAGCTACTGTCATAATTTATGTATGGTTGTTAATGGTAGAAGGGACACAGGAGACAGAAAGGTAGTCTACAGGTGTCTCAGTACTAGGTATAATATTAGCTTGCTTGGTGTTGATGGAGATAGGCACATCCCCGTTGCCACTTGGAGAAGTCCCAGAAGGCCGACGAGGACTAGAATGCGAGGCACCACCTGGTTTTAATGACGCACTGGACCCTGCAACACCATAGAATCGAGAGGCTGCGTGGTTATGGCTCTGAGTTAACCGCCTTTGCAGAGGTTATGGATCATAATGTTTTTGAAGTGTCCTTCTAAAAACTTCAGCAGTATTGGGCGTGAGGTCATGTTTACCCCCTTTTGCAATGAAGCTTAGAAAGCTGAGTCCATTCAAATTGCATAGAAGAGCATTTTAAACTGTGGACAATTAAGTTAACAGGTAGGTTGAAAATAACCTTTTGCGATTAGCGTAGGCAGTCTTACGTCTGGGATCTGATTGAAGATAGTAAGGAAACAGCTGTGCGCAGGCGATCTAGTTTAAAACATACTGATCCTCTGAACAATCCACAGAATGATAAAACGTATTCACGGCTAATGCTAAAATCATGAATTTCGCTTTCCAGCCTAGTAATCTTTTCCATAGCAACGGTAATCCCGCCGGTCACTTTTGGTGGGATGTGGCAGCGAAGTTAGGGTTTACAGCTATACCCACTATCGTTATTGTAAAACAACAATGGATGGAATAGTAGTAGTGACATCGTGTGTCTTATGGTAGCTAATGGCTTCATTTTTAACTAAAGTGAGGGACTTCTCGTTCACCCAGTGCTAACAAGCATTTCTATGAATACTCGGTAGGACGTCCAGATGAAAGTGTAATTATTAAAAGACTAGGTAATAGGAAATGCACAGGGGGACGAGCAAAAATAATTTGCGGTGTATAAAATACAATAGGTGTCCAAAACCAACGGGATTAAATTCCAGCGGTGCTTCGCGGTACAGCTGCGATGCCCATGGAAAGCTAGTAATCGGATAATCACAGTTGATTTTTTCAGTCTACATGTTCGGACTCTTTGCTGCAACTTCTTCACATTGTAGATATAAGAGTGTAATAGTGAGGACCATGGCAACTGAAGTCATCGCTGTTTGGAACAGAATTAAAACGTCACAGACGAAAGGAAGCTGCGATGAGAACCATCTAGTGAAAAACGTCGGTCAAGCGAATGTTAGGATAACAAAACGAATGCGCGGGGTGAGAAACTACCAAAATATAATTAATGGCAAGCAATTGATGATAGACAACCTCAAAGGGGAGCACAAAACAAAAGTGAAACCGTGACAAAGGCGTCCATCAAAAAGGCAAAACAATAAAGGAATCACAAAATTTCGTGGTCATCCACGAGAAGTATATTAGTCCAGTCTCAAAGAAGTGGTGTGTTGTACTTCTAAAACACGGGTCGGGGCTCGACGAGCCTGTATTGTGTCTGCGTGGAAGAAACAAGCCACTCCAAACGTGGCCCAAAGGGCGTAAATCATCACTTGCCAATGGAGCAACAGCTTGTTCGCGTACGAGAAGCTGATTGCCGTCAAAACCGACTGAAACACAACGGAAAATATGAAATGACAAAACTAATGTACTCGAAAAGCTGTTAATGGCATATCAAGCAGACGTTTGACAGGAGCTGACTGGAAATCAAAAACAGACGGCTTAAGCGTAATGAAGACAAGTGAGGCAAAGATATCAGCAGCACGCCAGTACGCATCACAGACGCGTCGCTGCCGCTCAACCACTACCAGTCGCACGTGCGAGTGTCGCCCGGTTTGTACGCAGGCTCGAACCTGTGCCCTCGGGTTACAAGACAGGTTTGTGATTCTGAGGGCTACAGGCTGGCTGAGGGCATGTGAAGTGTAAAGTGACGTTATTCGTCCCGATTTAGCCGGGGGTAAGTCGTGTCGAAAGCAAACCAAACAGTTGCCGATGCAAACACAAAGAATGCCCCTTTCCAAGTTATAGTTAGGCTATGAATGCAAAGTTCAAATAGGTACCAGATACAAAATAACGTAAGAACAACGGCACTGGCAAAATTCAATGCTATAATGCGAAGATCAATCACTGGAGTGAAGGCACGTCCACCGATAAGGCAGTCGTACATATGACGGGAAGTGCAGATGCAGCTGTTTGATCTAGCAACTGTTTCTTAGACGGGGATGAGTGAACACCTTTAATAGAAACTCAGCGAAGCATGAAGAATGTGAGGCATACCTGAACACACCGGTACAATGCGAACGCGACAGGGATGTCTTCTTTACGTTCACGATAAGTGTTTCCTATTAGGACGCCGAGTTGGGTGTTCCACACGGCGTCCACCATTCCAAACAGTGCCGCAGCCACTATGGCAGCTCCAATGCTAAAAGGAGATTGAAACAGAAACAGTATAGGAGGGCAAGCAGGAACTTATTACGGGAGAATGAAAAGTTAGAAGAGAATTAACAAGTGTATCTGCAGGACGCCGGAACTTCGTGTCGACAATTTGTTCCCACCACCGGTCGCACGCGTGATGGTACGCGGTGAGGTTAACGCATCCATACATGCTCGGACCGTTGACATTTGGATTACAAGATGGAGGCCTAAACCAATCCGTTACTGATTAGAAACGGAAGTTAACCGTCCAAGCCACCGACGGTGGAGGAAATAAGGATTAAGCAAGTTAGACCAAAAAGAATTAAGCATCCTGGATCAGATGTAGTATGAAATACCGACAGAAAAAATACATCTGTAGATCTATTTACCTCGGGGTGACGTAGGTGCTGTCATAAGTGTCTTCCATAGGGCTGTCTGCAGGCAACATTATGAGGCATATGTAGGCGGCAATCAGAGCACTCGCGTACCCAAATAAAGCGACCAAGCCAGATGGGGATACATATCGTCGCAAGTTCATTAAGAAACTACCTAAGGTAGGAAAAAGGAAAGATTGGGTTATGTGCATAGCAACAGGATCATATAATAAACTGGAGGTGGTCAGATGAAAAATAGGCTTACAATGAGTGTGGCGTTTTAAAGCTTTAAGATACGTAATGTCAGAGAAACGTGAAATACAGATGCACTTATGCAGGTCTGAAGTGCAGGCTCATTTAGGTGTGCTTATTCCTTGACATTTGTCCTAAACTGATTGACACTTGGGTATGTTTTGGATACGGAGAACAGTATTTCCCTGATGTGGATGCATCTGATCGGCGTGTAACTAGTTTGGTTATTGATTTTTCGCGATGGTGTCTGTTGCGATCTGTTACGTTTTGTCGATGTGCGTCCTTTGACCATTTTACCATATAAAAATAGTAGTTCTCGTAGCGAACCCTGACCCTGCTCGTTAGTTGTTCTAAATACCAAACTGAGAGGAAGTTACTCGCGGGACCGACACAACGCATATCTTGCCGTAAATGAGGACAAACTACTTCTTGACACTGTCTAATTGTAAACGCGTTGCGGTATGTCGGAGTGAGGAACTGAAAGCAAACTCCAAGTCAGTGTGTGAGGTCGCCACACATGGAGGCTTGACAAAGCACTTCGAAAACACATATGGAAGTCAGCTAACTGGGGAATCCATGAGTAAATCGCACCTATGCGCATTAATGGTAGCAAATGACGATTGCGAGCCTAGCGGCTATGCTGCTTTTGATGATGGCGATTTCCAAGTAAGCGAAACAGGAACGAGGATCTTCGATAAGTTGCTGTGTGTGTGATGTGATGACTAGCTTAGTCTATCGGACGGTCAGCCATGCAGTACAAAGGAGTAAGGTATGATAACGGGCAGGTGAGCCAGAAGTGGTGCAGAGTTGCTGAGACAGAGGCAGAGGACTAAAGTCAATGGTTTGGATGGGGATCCATGGAGAGTTGGTTGGCGGCAGACAACGATGGTTGGGTTCCTGTTGCGTCCCTCAGATGTATAATGCAATGGAAAATATAGAAAGGCACATACACAAATGTCCAGCGCCAATTGAATAGTGCCCATCCAAAATGTCTTGAGGCAGGAATTCCCAAATTTGTGTACTCGCATTCATCAACAGCCTTTAAATCAAAGGTTAAAAATTCTAGATCACGCTGTGTTGTGATAAGTTGATAGGATGGGAAAGAGGATGGAGTCACACCAAAATAGTCTAAAAGAGTAAAGTCATACAGCCGGAAGAAACGTGAAGAGAAAAGGAACTAAGTGGATAAGCACCACTGGCCCACGTTTGTGACGAGTTGTGAAATATCTTCCAGACATGTTACTGGTAACGCAAATTTCATACAAGGTTGAAAACGGGTAAAAATGTTGACAACAACAACGATCTCAATCGTTTGGCATAATATGACTTTCTTTTACGGCAGCCAGCTGTTAGCTCTCCGGAACGATGTCCATCCGTTACTGGGGACTCAGCGGGCGTGCCACGGTTTGTTGTTGTTGTTTTGCTTTTTCTTCTTTTCTTGCCTTTTGTATTGCGGCACAATAGCTGAGGTGTTTTCCACCTCCAGCTAACGTGTAATGATGATGATGATGATGTTCTCAGCTGCCTCGAGAGAGCACATCAGCCACCTGCGCAATTCGACTGGTGGAACCATGGCCTGACATCTGACAGCTGGTTCACCGCAGGAAATTGCTGGGTACATTTTTCTACTTAGAAATATAGGACAGTAGGTTCGAATACGTGAAATATGTAGCCAAATATCTCGTATACAATAACATAAAAGAGTCGAAATTACAATCTTTTTTTCAAAAGTATACCACCATGAAAATTCTACCAATAAAGTGGGAATAAAACACCACAACATTTGAAACATAGAACGATGAACCTAAGTACGGTATCTTTCATATGCTACCGATAGTGCCGAATGTAACGAAAAAGGCATATACCATACTGTTGCCCGTAACTACTAAACTTTCCGTCTAAGGTAATTCATTCTGGTAAATTAGTAGTAGCAGCGAATAAATAATTTGGATTACGCATAACTTAACTCAAAGGTTGACGAGATTCTCGAAATTGTGAACCAAAATTCACGTCAAATTCGCATTCACACTTACTAATTTCAAGTAGGTGTAATCACTAAATCAGCCGCAAAATGCGATGTACATCCAGGAAATGCCACAACCGGTGCCAAAGGAAAATGGTTGGCGGCATCCTGTTTCGGATTTGCCTGTCACTGTGGCCAGCCACAGGACGCCTGCGCCTACAGAGGGACCATGGATGGCTTGCGCTGCACCACTCACAGCTCCATCCACACACACCATATCCAGTGTAAACCCGAAGGAATAAGATCGGGAGGCATGTGGATGAGAGCCACGTTTCATCAATGGAGTCTGCCCATACTCCTTCACAGGCAAACACAAGCACGCTGTGTTGGGGGAATCAACCGCACAGAAGGCGGTGGCTGGACCGTAGTCCGCTCTGCATTGACTGCATGGAACCAATCTTCGAGCCTAGCACGACCACAAGGACAGTGCACCCCGTCCCCTTTAGAAACGACCAACTGTCTGCTGGAGCCAGATGGACGAGGTAGTGGGTAATAGACAGGTAGGCACCTTGTCAACATGCACATCAAGCGCAGCCACACCTAGGATGTCAAACAACAGCCAGTCACTCAAAATGCCGATATCGAATAAAGTAAACGCATATGACGATCTAAATACTCGCTAAATGAGCATATAGAAGAAATTGGTTGTAAGTGAATCCGTGATAAGTACAAAATGTGCAAGTTATTTAAAAAATATCACGCGATACAATTACGCAATTTTACCACAACTTGTATGAGCGACGTGTGCAAGTTGGGAGAAGATTATCAAGTACGCAGAACAAACCAAATAAAATGTAACGAACTTTATCCACATTAAAATGACCTAGTTTAAGTGTAAGTTGGTTTAACCCAACTGCGGTGAAGAAGCATCATGAATGCGACATCAGCCTCAGCATGGGGCACACATATATACATGGTTGGCGGCATCCGGTTTCGGATTTGCCTGTCACTGTGGCCAGCCACAGGACGCCTGCGCCTACAGAGGGACCATGGATGGCTTGTGCTGCACCACTCACAGCTCCATCCACACACACCATATCCAGTGTAAACCCGAAGGAATAAGACCGGGAGGCATGCGGATAGGAACCACGTTTCATCAACGGAGCCGGCCCATTCTCCTTCACAGGCAAACACAAGCACGCTGTATTGGGGGAATCAACCGCACAGAAGGCGGTGGCTGGACCGTAGTCCGCTCTGCACTGACTGCATGGAACCGCTCTTTGAGCCTAGCACGACCACAAGGACCGTGCACCCCGTCCCCTCCAGCAACGACCAACTGTCTGCTGAAGCCAGATGGACGAGGTAGTGGGTGATAGACCGGTAGGCACCTTGTCAACATGCACATCAAGCGCAGCCACACCGGGGATATCAAGCAACATCCAATCACTTGAAACGACAATCTGAAATAAAGTAAATCCAATAATGCATACACATACGGTGGCATAACTCTTCCCTAAATTACCATATGAAATAAGTTGGTTAGCAACGAATCCGCGATAGTAAGAAATGTCCACAAAATACTTAAAAATGCTACAAACGAAACAAAATTACCGAAGATAAGCGCAATTAGCGTAAGCCACGTGGCCAGTTAATAGAACATTTTTCAGGTAGGCAGAACAAACCAAATAAAGTGGAATGAAATTTATCCAGCTTAAAAAGACCTAGTTTAAGTGTAAGTTGGTTTAGCCCAACTGCAGTGAAGAAGCATCAAGAATGCAACATCAGCTTCAGCATGGGGCACACCAAAGGAAAATACATGCATTACAATTTACATTTGCGAAATAGTTTGATGCGTTTTCGTGACATAGAGCGTTAAGGGGTTGAATGACCACATAGAAGTTTCACAAAACTAGGCGCAGTACCCGGAGACCATGCACACTGAAGCAGTCGGCTGATGGGCTTGTGGAGGCGAATCCAGTTCAGCATAAAGTTTGGTGAGGCACCAGAGAATCTGGTACTAAACATCAGAGGACCAGCTGAATTCGTCACACGGTTCCCACGCCGCATATGGGCAAAAGTTTGCAGACAGCGGTGGGCGAACATATTCAGTTACATAACGACCCATGCACGCGACTGCCAAGTCTCTGAATCACACAGTAACACTAGTGGCACCGATCACGCGTAAAAAGTAAGCTTCGTTTTGAACAGGCACAGTTCTGTGTGTGTAATTTATTGAGAAACTGTGACAAATTACTCAAACCAAATACCCCAATTAAATTTATATCCCCTGTGTTCAAGTTACTCATTGCAACGTGATCAGAGCGCGCTGGTCTCGGTAAAAATGTTGGGAACAGATGCTCTGTAAAATCGTGCAACTCCGACGACTACACATGAAGAGCTGTGCAGGGGTTTACAGCGACAGATAAGTGAAAGCCATTCGAAAATCACGCTTGCACTGTATTAAATAAAAACAATCCTAACGGTTGGGTAGATTGAAAAGAAGGAAGCTGCGCTATAACCAAAGCTGGCCAATCTACTTGATATCAACTTGCGACGGTGCTGGGGCATTCCTAGCCGCGCGAATGTGAAGCTATAACAGCCATTGTGATAAACGGTTCGATGCAACAGCTTATGTAATAACAGACTTACTTTGTGTTAGTGTGACAATTGCACTTACAGTCGAGATACCGCGTAGAGAAAACAATATAAGCAGTTTTGCAACACAGAATCAGGATCCGGTTGACGCGAAAACGTCTAAGGCCAACTTGTTAGCTGAATGCAACAGTGTGCGTTTTTCCATACGCTCTCAGATGGACTCGTTTGGGGATGATTACAACTTTGTGGTCGTATTCACCAGTACAATGACACAGTGCATAGTCACACGATGGAATAAAAACCGACAGAATATGACAACAGAGCAGGATAGCAGAAAAACATGTAGAAAATAAAGGTTGTGAAATCGGCAACGAAGCGTAGGCAAAAGTGTTTCAATGAAAACCCTATGACTGAATTAAAAGGATCACCTTTAGGTCCATAAAGTAGATACTTTGAGGAAGAATGTAATCGGGCTTACCGATAATCTCACCGATTCCCACGAATACAACCACCAAACCAATGAAGGATTTCGCTTCCGTACCGAAAGCCAATGTGTGACCGACACAAGAAGCGAATAGGCTAGACCAGAATGTGGTGCTGACTCCTACAAAATGGAAGACAGGTCAATAGACAAAAAGTATAAGAAACAATGTGATTATAGTGGAGAAAAGACAGCTGCACTAGGTATTCATGGTCTAAATGCCCGTTTGGAATAAAAGTAGTGGGACCCATGTGGAATGGAGACGCGCGAGGGAGTATCTGGGGACACGCTGTTCAATTATGATAAAAGAAATCGATGTTTGGTGAACGGGGGAAGGTAATTCGTGATACGGTTCAAATTGGAGGAAACAAACATTGCGCTTCTCAGACTGTGACAAAGAGGAAATTAACACGTGAGAGCATGAGGGCCACATCCGATGATGGATCAATTCACTTGGAACTACATGTTTATGTAGATGACTTATACTGTCGACAACGCACAAGTAGCCCACATTATCTATCACCTCATGGCGGGTTGCAGGCTGGTACAGTTCGACAGACTCTCATATTTGATTTAAAAAATTCATGACGATTCTACTTGAAAACACGGTTGTAAAGAGATCATTTTTTGGTAAATTACAGGAGGCAAATAAATATATACATAACGTTGTATTCCCGACTATGTGGGACACGCTGTTAGAGGCATGATCATGGAGGTGCAGCAGTGTACATTACATGGGTCACAGGCTGATCGGAAATAGATGGATAAGTGCAACTGAATATGGGTGTGAGTGATCCGAGATTTGACATATGTAAAGACGATAGAGTAATTCGGCATAAGTAGTTGCGTCCAAACAGTGGTAAGAAATAGAAGGGTACGAAATGATGTAACAGATGAGGGGAGAGTTAACTCGGAGACCACAAATTATGTTCGAGTATGTGCCACCGATTTAGTTAACAGAATATCTCGCTATTCGAAGTCGTCAAGTCCCCCAAAGTACGACCATGACTGTTAAGTTAGCATCCCGTTCCGAGTGAGCGAAGTTTCCTTATTCAGTAATAGATACTTTTTCCGAAATTCATTGAAGATAAGTGGTAAGATTGTCCTGAGTAGGAAAGTTTAAGTGCTTCGGTATGCTTCAGATAAGGAACAGTTTTCTTGTAAGATAAGTCACTGTGGCTCTGAGTTACCACAAAGTAACACCGGAGAAAAGTAAAGAATTGGTATAATTCACAGCGATGGCATCCATGGTAAAAGACTGAATGATAATCCACAGAAGTAAGATGGAAAATATCTCGCTTGAAGGTATTGAAAACTGGCTATGTTAGCATGGCTGTTGTCATGGTTGCACCAAGTATATATGCTTGCAAGAATGTGTACCGATAATAGGTAAGGTGGAACCCGGTTGTTCAGAGCAGATGAAAATGATTCAAAAATTGCAATGTTTTCCATGAGGTAAGTAGCGATATCAGATTGTCAATGTTCTATAAAGTGTCGAAAGAATGTTCCATGCGCTTTGGAAAAGTTGGAGCTTCGTTCTCCCGCGAAGGACGCTCGGTGATTGAGGAAGATAAAGAGCGCTTTATCGACCATTATTTGTAGATCTCGGGGAAAAGTGTGAAGAAGCAGACAAACAAGAGCATCCATGAACAAGTGAAGGAGACTCATAATGAAACCGATTTTAATACTCGAGCAAACAAGTGGAACTTGTTTATTTGTTATGTACACACATTTTATATGGAATTTCTTATTAGATGGCTTTCGATGCATAGGTTGCATAGACTTTATTAGGCAGGGCTAGAGGACGTAAACGACGTAACGTAGGAAAATAAGGACTAAATTACGTGGAACATGGGTAGGGATTGATATCATCGAGACGAGTTATATGCTATATATTGGGCGAGATAGTACAGGGTGTGTTGAAGAAACACGGCGGTGAACAGTTCGCGAAAGAAAGCTTGTCTCACTAAGGCTAGATGCGTAGTTCGTACTCGAAAAGAGTGAAAGATGAGAAGGCAAGCGAGGTAGCTGAAGGTGAATAAAATAGTTCGCTATTGCAATAAAGGTATTCCAACCGGCAGAGTGATTAACAGAAGCATCGTACCTCGCAGACAGGCACGATACTAACGGCGGCGGAAATGTTACCTTCGGCCAACGACGGGCTATACGGCCAGATAGATTGCCGGGGTTTAAGGTTAAATTCGATCTGGATCTTGTCCCCATATCTCATCATCAGACTGAACAATGTTAAGAAATTTTGAAATAGGAATTAAGTTCAAAAATCTGCGTAAATAGTGCAGAATGTTTCAGCCGTTGGTGCGATCTGATTTCCATTGGCAGCTTATTCCACGCCAACGTGTATCTATAAAGGAAGAAAGCGGAACGTAAACTCTTAGCAGCTTTCGGTAAAATAATCGAATAGGGTCTAGTCGCGATTCCCTGAGTTCGCCCTGCTGTCTTGTGGGCAGGCTATTTAGCCAAAGGCTCGAGGTGGGGTCCCCTAAGACAACTCCCTACTTCGGCTTGGGTAACCGGATAGCAACAAGCCCACTGACAAAACCGTGGATCGTTCATCTGATATATCGCGCTCAGCTGCTTTTGCTTCCGCTTCTCGCACACCTTCTTCACACGCCACCTGTTCATTTGTTACTAATCAGTATTATCCGTTATCAGCTGATTCCTGTTTTCATGATTCTACCCCCGATGGTATCACCGACGCCTGTAGATCGGACAGCAGTTTGGTATTGCGCAAAACTTAGAATCCATCGCCATCAATGTTTGCTCTTTCAGAAACGGAGTCGGAGGCCAAAATTGCCGTGAGGAGAAAGGGCGTTTTCATCTCCTTTGGGCCGCAGTGATTATGCGATGCTAGTGTTTCATTACACGTGCTACGCGGATTATCCTAAAGAGCATGCCGAGGAATATCATGTCGTATTCAACTATGACGACCTGTCCGACCTCATTGATGCAACCAGCTGGTCGTTCTTAGCTGAATTAACCCCTGAGGTGGCCTGCGCAGAATTCGTCAACATATTTACCAAGCTCGTGGCAAGGACATCTGAAACCAAACTCTGCCGGTCTAAAAGGATGAAGTCTTTCGTAAGGAGCAGGACACGTAAATGCATGGCATTAAGGGACTTGGCATGGCACACATACATAGCCTCCCCGAACGACCATACCTGGGATGTCTACACAATACAAAGAAACCACTGTGCCGAACTCGTCCGGGAGGATAAACTGAAAAACCAATAAGATCTAGTGGAAACGTTTTGCTCCAATCCCAAACTGCTTTACAGACACGTAAACAATTTGCGCCGTGTTAAGCGCGGTATTCCTGCTCTGTACACAACATACGGGTTAGCCCAAACCGCACAAGAGGCGGCCAACGTTCTTCGACAACAATTTGGTCGTACCTTCCAAAGTGTGCAAACATCATACATCCTGCCTAAGCAGATAAGGCCGCCATCAGGGCTTAACCACATATCGTTTACCTCCGCAGCTGTACTGAAGAGTCTGATGTCTGCGCGAGTTCAGCTCCCCGGGTGCGAAAGGCATTCGCCCGAAGGCTTTGAAAGTTGCTACCATGAGTTTGGCAGGATCATTAGTATGTCCCCACGATGTGGAAGCACGGAATCATCACGCCAATCTACAAAAGTGGCAGTCGTGCCGAACAAGCAAATTATCGCCCGAGAACACTACTTTATGTGCTCTCCAAGGCTATGGAGTTCATCGTAGCTGAGACTTTGATGGGGTACCTGGAGAACAATCAAATTCTCGTTCCGGAGCAGCACGGATTTCGCCAAAATCGCTCCTGTACCATTAATCTCTTGATTACTCGTGCAAGCTGGATGGCATCTGTGGACGCTGGTGTGGAAGTCGATGCGGCGCACTTGGATTTCTCAAAGGCATCCGACCGTCTAGACCACCGCATTCTCCTCCACAAACTCCAGAAATATGGAATCGGAGATCCTGTTCTGGGATGGATAGGAGACTTTCTCGTGCAACGTCACCTGAATGTGAGGGTTCGAAGCAAACTGTCGGAATCCATCGAAGTTCGGTGCGGCGTACCTCAACGCTCGGTACTTGGACCCCGCCTATTCCTGGTTTTCATAAATGATCTCGCTAGTGTGCTATCTTCTAACTGTTTGCTATTTACTGATGATCTAAAGGTATGGCGTACTATAGCTGCAGTGGAGGATCACACAGTGTTACAGGAGGACCTGGACAAATCGTACACATGGTCCCTCGAGAACATGCTGCACTTCAACGTCACCAAATGCAAAGTTCTCAGCAAACGGCACAAGAGTAGGAACGATTAGCGCCTAGGAGCACAAATTCTACAGCGGGCTTCTCATGAGTTCAATCTCGGCGTGATAGTTTAAGATGACCTCCGTTGCTCGAGGCAGACTGAAAAGGCAGCAAAGAAAGCAAACCAGTACCTCGGCCTTCTTCGAAGAGCTTTCGGGAAGTTTGAGCCATCAATAGTTCCAAAAATGCTTAGTGCGTACGTGAGGCCGCACGCGGAATACGCTATTCAAGCGTGGCAACCCTGGCTCAAGCACTATCTCACCGCGCTCGATACTGCACAACGTAGGGCAACGAAGAGCGTCAGAGGTTTGACCAGCCTCCCCTACCCACTCAGGCTGAAGACCCTCAAAATACACAGTGGACGTTATCGGCGTCTAAAGGGCGATCTCATAATGGTGCACCAGATCCTGAGAAACCTCAACCACCCATGCCATTCCCTTCTAATACTAAGTCAAAACACCTCGCTAAGAGGTCACCAGTTAGTCACGCAGTACAGCCGCCTGGAATGTCGGCGAAAATATTTCTCTCTTCGAGTGTCACAGTCTTGGAACGTCCTCCAGGAACATGTAAATAATGCACCCACCCTATCCCTTTTCAAAAAACGTCTTGACGACACTCTGTCACATTTACACTATGTGCTATAGCCCATGACCGCCAGATGCTGTCACTAATTCACAAGAGACAGTGGATAGTGACATAAGCCTACTCGAGAATGAGTCACTCCAAACTCCTTTCACGAAATTTGATAAACGCTACTACTAGAGAAACTGGATTTCTGTATCCTGCCGAGCCAAGATAGTTGCAGACGAGTAAGC